GCCACGTAGGAAGGTGTAGACTTCCTGACTAGTTGGGGTCCTCGAAACATTGAAAACCAATGAAGGTTAGAGAAAACGGTGATATGGCTCAAAGTCGTTCTCAATGGCTGGCGCAGATTCATCCACTCCTTGTGACTTATAATACCCAATGAAACTATATTGTTCTTCGTTATTACTATTCCTTTGTCTTACACCTCTGCTTACTGTCTCTAATATGCATTTCTTCTACTCTCCTCTCTTGGTTTGTATGCTACATGGAGGGAGTGTGGCGACTAGAACTGCTGCACGACAGTGCAAAGTTCTGTGTCGAAAACAGACAGACAGAATGTATTAAAATACTACTTGCACTGTTAAGAAAAGGATTGAAAAAGATGATGTGGGGTGGGGGGTATATACAGGAACTCAATAACTTTTACTTACTTTTACACTGGAGCTAACCGATTTAATAATATCTTTAAACAGGATATTCAAATCAGCTAGAATTCCACGAACCAGTGGTAATTCACCCTTCTGTTTCTGACAACCACAAGCAATGTGTATTAAACAGGGAAGAATGTCTGGATCTACAATGTGTATTAGAATGAATAATGCAATTTTTGTATTTCATCAAAACAGAAAAACACGAAATCTAAAAATATTAGTGATATGTACCCACATGATGTGTGTTTTGTTTTTGACAGTCTATTATACTTTTGCTATGTGTATATTGATCGACATTTCATTGTAACTGGCAATATGCTTTTATCTGTCCACTAACTAAATAAACATGTATGACCTTATTGTCACATGACATTACAACCAATCATGTTAAGACTGTCTATCTGATTGGTTCATGTGTATTAGTCACTTTCATATATACTTTTGTACTGTATTCTTGTTCCCACGTTTTTCGTACACTCGTACCATTTCACTCACACTCTTGTGTGACATTTATTTTCCTTGTCTGGAAAATACAAGTATCATCGTAAACCTGGTGGTCTTCTGATTTCTCTCTTTCCGCGGCGTCAGGACTATTAACTACTCGACGAGTACATAACATAATTGGCGACGGGGAAAACTCTAATATCTCACTCAGTAGCAGCACATAACAATTAGCCATTCACATTACATATCTGTTGTATATGTGAAAGTGACCACGATAATGAATGCACGTGTAGAACCTGTACATTGGCGGCACAGCGGTTAAGATGCTCACCGATCACGCCTCATGTGGTCCGGGATTCGATCCCCAGCGACGGACGCACTCCTTTACACAACTAAGTCAGTAATAAGACTGGTAAAGAGGGAAGGTTGGGCATGAGGTTGGCTAGCACCCACCCCATGCTGAAAAAATAATCACCACTGCTACAGAAACTTCAAGCCTCTAGTTTGAAGCCCTCCATGTTCCATTGGGAACGTGAAGGAATAAAGAAAAATGTGTAGAACTTGACCACTGTGGTATTATGCAATTTCATATTGATTCGCTTATTAGATATATCCTAAAGTTAAGCAGTTTTATCTACTGGATCACTTTTAGAACACAATCTATCCTTCATAATCATATCAATTGTACCTACACAATTCCGAGACTTTCGTTTTATAATTCTCTTTATTCCTTCCTATTCGTCGTAGGTGTGGTAGAATTCTCCAGATGTTCAGGTGGACAAGTTTTGATTAATTTCTATTTCACCTATTCTCAGTTAGTGTGATAAATAAGGCTTCCGTTATCCATCTCTCCCTCCACCCTGTCATATTAGATTTTAGCAGTTAATAGCAACAAGGAAAATTTAACACAGGGAATGAGGCATATAAGAAGAGAAGCTTTGAAACTTAATAATTACCCTGATAAATTAGTCTGAAATTATGTAGGGAGATGTAAAAACAAAGTTAATAATGATAGCAGTGATAGTGATAACAATAATAATATTAATGATGACATGCATATCAAATATACACTGGATAATGACAACACCAACAATAAGGAATCTAAATCATCAGTAGTAATTCCAAACAAGGAGGGAACCTTGGAAACCTTACGGAGAATTCTTAACAAGGCAGGCAGGAATAAAAGTGGCTGGCATTCACACCACCCACAAAAACAATTAGAAACAAGCTTTTTCGATTAAAGGATCAATCATGTGGAGCCAACTAAACAATACAATTTAGTTCATCTAATACCCTGCTAGAATGATTGTCAGGTCAAATACCATAGGTCAAACTCGTAGAATAGGGGCAGTCAGAGTAGCTGAACATAAAAACCTAACAAAATCTAGATTGGTTGACCCAAATGAAATAGGAAATCTAGAGAATAGTTCAGCTATACCACTGACTACATGCAGTTACACACAACCATACAATAGGATGGGATAGGATGACAGTTCTAAAATCTAATGCAAGAGCAGGGTGGAGGGAGAGATTGATAACAGAAGTTTTGTTTATCGAATCAACCGCAAATAGGTGTAACAGGAATGCTTCAACACCTGTCCAGTCAGATATCTGGAAAATTCTACTACCCCTACGACGACAAATAGGAGAGAGCTAAGAAAACTATAAAACTCAAGTTTCGAAGTCGTGTAATTATAATAGATGGGATGATTGTGAACAATGAATTTTGTTCGAAACTGTGTCTTCCAGTAAACAATGCTGTTTCACTGACTGTGTGATACATCTAATAAACAAACTAATCTCATACATTTATTCCCCTTAATGAATTTGAACAAAGCAAGAACTACAGTTTTAGCAGAATAATGTGGTACCATCATTTATTTCGTTGGCTTCTCATCAGCTGCTTACAGCCTAAATAAATTATGAGGTTTAAGTACAGACATGTTTTAACATACTTGCAAATTTTACATGTTGTCAGTTGACAGAAAATTCCACAATTTGTAAACAGTGCTCAGAATTGAGAATTGAGCTCTTTTGCCTATTGATAATTTTGAACGACTTTTCGACGTCCACCGCATGACCCGTGTCGAGGAGATGCCTGTCGATGGCACTGTTTAAAGCATTTGTTCCCTTTAGACGTAAGCTTTTTGGTACGTGTTCAGAAAATCGCAGATATGCCCTTCTTTCTGTTCTTCCAATGTAACTGCTCCCGCAGATACACGTAAATTTGTATATACAGTTGGAGTATAACGTGAGAAGGATATCTATCGATTTTTGATTGCACCAAAGAGCAAGTTGTTCGATAGACGGGAGCGAGCTTGGCTGCAGGATAGGCTATGGCTAGTGATGTACTCAGCCTTCTGTTGATCATCGCTGCAATGTTTTCACCTTTATAGTCAAGCTGAACGTAGACTGGCTTTTTACCCACTGTGATTTGTTTTACACTTCTGACTTCAGATCTTCCATACTTGTTGATGAACTTTTGAGGATACCCATTTCTCTTCAATATCTTTTCAAGGAACTCAAACTCCTCCTCTAATTTCTCTACAGAGCATATTCTCCTCGCTCTATAGTACAGAGTCTTGACTAGACCCCGTTTAAAGCTATTTGGACAAAAGCTATTAAAATGCAAGTATTGTCCTTTCCATATGGGCTTTCGATAAATTGACTTTTGAAGACTACCGTCTTCTAGGCGTTCCATGGCGATGTCGAGGAAATGAAACTTTCCGTCACTTTCATGTTCCATAGTGAACTCAATATTGGCGTGTGCACCATTGAATAATCTTAGTAAGTGTGAGGCATGACTTTCATTTTTGCACACTACAAATGTGTCATCAATATAACGACAGTAGGAAGATGTTTCGTCGATTGCATGTTTCAACTTTGTTCTTTCAAGGTTTGACATGAATATATCTGCTAGAACAGGGCTAAGTGGACTGCCCATAGCTACACCATCTATTTGGCGGTAAAACGTGTTGTCAAATTGGAATTTCACATCCATGGTACACATAAGCAGTAGGCGTTTGAATTCCGATTCTGGGAGTGGGAGAAGATCGGACTGCTGACAAATGATCTCAATAGTTTCATTGATTGGAATCATTGTGAATAGGGAGGTTACATCAAATGACACCATGAATTTATTTAGAACGTTCATATGGCTCACACTTTCAGAGAAATGAAATGAATCTTTCACCGTGTGTACGCCTAGCCGTTGACGAATAGGTTCCAACTTCTCCGCAAGCCAACGTGCCACCTTATGTTGGGGCGAGCTGATCATCGAAAGTATGGGTCTCAGGGGGACTTGTTCTTTGTGTATCTTCGGAACGCCATACATGTGTGGCAAGCGGGACCCTCGGGGTTTCAAATCATTGTACGTGTTGTTGTCAATCAATTTCTTCTTTAGGAGATCTCTCAAGGCGTTTGTGATACGTTTTTCGACAGCATCTGTCTTATCTTTCTGGCAACTGTCAACTTTAAACCTCAACGGGTCATTTAACACAGCTTTCATCTTTGCGATGTAGTCCTCTTTGTCCATCAGCACCACACCTGAGCCTTTGTCAGGTCTCAATATAACGATTTTGTCATTATTCTTGAGAGCTTTCAATGCTCTTAGATGCTTTTCAGAAAGGACTTTCGAATATGACGTTGGAGAAATGAGGTATTGATTTGCAACGTCGACGAGCTTTCACATCCCAAATAAGTTTGTCGAAAGAACTGATGTCGCAGTTCAATTCGAAAACTTATTTTATCAGTTGAGTGACCTCACTCCAGTTGATGATGACAAGAGGAGCTGGTTCAAATCTACTTATCAACTTTGAACTTAATAACAAAATATTTCCAGCTAACGGAACTGCATATTAGAATATTCCATAGACATGACTTGTGCGTCGGTGGCATAGCGGTTAGGACGCTCGCCAACCACGCACATGGTCCGGGGTTCAATCCCCGGCTACAGACGCACTCCTTTACCTCGCTAAGCCAGAAATAATGCTGGTAAAGAGGAAAGGTTGGGCATGAGGCTAGGAACCTCATCCTGTAAAAATAAACACTGCTACAGAAACGTCGAGCCACTAGCTTGAAGCCCTATGTTTCACTGGGGAACGTGAAGGAATAAAAAAATAGACATGATTACTTACCAGACAAATAACAGGATAAAGCATCCATACATTCTAAACTAGCGATAACCACATCTATGATTGGGATTATAGCACGTAAACTATTGTAGTAAGTTGTAAAATGGATCAGATGCGGAGCATCTTCACACACTTTGCGCAAATAGACACCGAATGTAGGCAAAACTTCTGGAAAGCATTTAACTGTAATGAAATTTATAAAAATATGCTCACTATTAAAACGTATCATGAGACAATAACTTTAAAAAAGAAAAAACACATACTTACTAGAAAAAAGAAGAACCAAAACCAATCGGGTGGAAACTATGTCCACTCGGACAACAAAAAAAGTCATTCTTATCCTAAGAAGCTGAAAAATGATCATTTACATGTTACAACTACAGTAGTTAGGACTCTCGCCGACCATGCACATAGTCCGGGGTTCGAGCCCACGCCGGCGCACACCTGATATCTATGGTCGGCCTGCGAAATTTGGGCTACCGATATCCACGTTGAAAATACCATACTTGTACCAAATATACGGTGTGGAATCAAGCTGTAATCAAAAATAAAATATTTAAGTTTTCCGTTTTAATATTAGTCTTTTGTTTCTGCGATAACTGCAAAGATACCTAAATTCTATTTCAAATGGTTTTATTGGTTTTTAGGTAAACTCAATAAACTCTGCGTGGCATTCATTCCACAAGGGTGCAAGTACAGAAAATTATTAAAGGGAATAAAAATGATATTCTCCGAATGTGAACTTGAATACATGATATTAGAATGAAATTTATGAAGCCACAAACAATAAGATAGCGTGTCATGCTCTTAGAAACGTTCTCCGCCAGTTGTATCATTCGTAATCCCTAACATTTCACAAGATTCAGGTGATTTCATCTACATCTATTCAGTAATTTCTGCATTATTATAAATTTATGATACGATTACATTACACACAAGAGTTTCACCACTGGCCGTGTAATTGTAACAAAGTATATTGAACGAATCTTGAGGTATCTAACGCCATAGGCAATTTACAATTATCCACTGCTCTGATACACAGCAGATTCCTTAAAACTGCAATCAAAAAACAAAAAACGCTAAACACTCTATACAATACAATGCACATATTCTTTTTTATCAAATTAATTTGTAATTAAGCGCAGCAGTGTGCAGTACACGACAAAGGGGTCGAACTATTGTTGTAACAAAAGCGAGAATTTTATAGTCAGAGGATATGGACCATCTACCATAAAATAGTTGCACTCAGAAAACTATTAGATAGTATGACATATGAGGCATTGTGTATTCACCGATTGTTTAGATACAGGTTGTTTCCAGTGAAAATAACAGAATACAAAGTCTCCAATGATTTTAGTTGATAAACGAATAATTTATTTTTTTAATTTTTGATTACAGCTTGATTCCACACCGTATTTTTGGTACAAGTATAGAATTTTCAGCATGGATATCGGTAGCCCAAATTATACAGGCCGACCATAGATATTAGGTGTGCGTCGGCAGGGGATCGAACCTCGGACTGTGTGCATGGTCCTAACCACTGTGCCACCGACGCACAAAAAAAATAAATAATAAAAAAAATAAACTTATGAAAGTGATAATCACGTCGTTTAGAGTGATGGTAAGTTTACTACGATTAAATATGCCATTCTTCAGGTCATCGGGCTTTCATCATTATCCTGGACTTGGAGCATCTTAAGATTTACAAGAGGACATTAAATCGGCTTGTCACTCGATGCTAAATAAGATAAAACTATAATATTATGGTCACATATACACCTCCGCATGACTTAGATGACTAGTCATTAATATAATAATAATAAATCATTAATCTAAAATATAAAATGGAAAATTGCTGCTAGAAATTTTTTCTATAGATTGTAAAGTGAATACTGACCTAAGGCCGATACACCATTTACATTAGAAGAGAACGTGTACAACAAACGATGAATTATTTCCACTTCACTGCCATGCAACCATCTGGACAAATGTGATGAAACAGAAAGGGTATTACTTCATCTCATGTTGAGCTATCAAAATAGCCTTTAGTAACTGATCACCACACCAGACTTCAGCCAAACTGTCATCATCTCGTGTGATAACGTCAATAAGGCGAACAGCACCAATCAATAAATTTGCTACCAAGCAAATGATTAACATATGTGAACATACCATTGGTTGAACTCTTTAGAATAAAGAGAATGTTTTCAAAAAACTCTGGCTGGAAGCGTATTTCATCTAACCACGGCATTTTGTATTCATCTGATGCAAGCACAGTTTGTATCAGTCTTGAAAATATTTCGCAATTAACACAACTAACCTGCATGTTTCAATAAGAGTGGGTGTATCCCTTGAATATAATAAGCTTGTTATACGAATGCTAGTGTAAGTAAATTTTCACGTAAACAAGAAAGCATACATAAACGATTCACTCTCGCTCATTTTACGGCACGCGACAGGGTCATAAGCTAGATTTGCAAGAATCCCCACCATGATTTCCTTATTAGGTTACAAATTTACACAGAGTACTTCATTACCAAAAGTCTGGGTTTCTGAACGTCTCCAAGAGCATTATTAAATATTGAGACGATTTCAAACTCGTCAAGGAACTTGAGAACATCCCGATTGACCGTCAGATCCCATAGACAACACAACTGCTCTTCAAGCTCACTATCTAGCCGGTCGCCGTCTGAATTATCCTCTGAGTTCGCCCAAGTCGCAGACGTTTCTTTATTAACGCTTTCCAAAAATTTTATCAACATTGAGAAAAGCCATCGTCGACTATATGTTGTGTCTCCAATCATATCAATCTGATTCTCATTGCCATCATAGTCAGGTGGTGGAGATGGATTACGAGTGGACATTACTGCAAATTACTACCTTGCCGACCTAGTGTTCATGTAAACTACGCTGTAGCGTAAAATACTAATTCTTGCCAAAAACTAATTAACTGCTCGTAGGTCTCAATATTCAATATCCATTTTAAGAGCTAATACAAGTCAAAATGATTTCCTCAACTTCATTTCTTTATAGTCAGTAAACGCTTCTGATCTTCGAGGAGCTTCTGTGTAATTCGTCCCACTTTCTAAACCACTGATAGACTCCAAAGATAGCACTTATTGAATATGTGCCTTAGCCCAAATAGCATTTCTTCAGGCGCACTTCCGGACATGAGGCAATGACTCTAAGCCTACTTCAAACATTATGCAGTGCACCTGAAGTTTGCCCCAATCATTCTGTAATGCGTCCTAACTTTCTGCAAGTGACTAAAGCCTAGGATGACACAAGCCTACGGTTATACATTGAACACTTAGTTGATAGCCAACATAAAGGCAAACCTATAATGTACAAAGCCTGCCGAAAAAAATAGCATACTGGCATCAGCTCAAAGATATACTATATCGGAAATCAGGGGACTTTAACAAGATATACATTTAATATTCTTGCCAAATGAATATAACATTGCTGAATGGTATACGAGCTTATCTTGCAACCGGAAGGTCCTGGGTTTGAATCCCAGCGGGTGCATACTGCCGATGATTCCCAAACTAGGGTGAAACAGTAGCTGTCCAGTACTCCCTGGTTTTCAATGCTTCTCTAACCGATATCAATCTGTGATCAACTCGTAAAATAGAATATGCCATGCTTTGATAAATCAAAAATGTCAAAAACCATATAAATCACCAGAAACATTCATCCTTGTACCATTTTCATCTGGTGTCTTCTTCGCGATTTGGTTGGTGGTGACTGGAAAATTAAATTGAGAAAACGTAGAGAAATATCAAGTGGAGCGTCGCTGTTTTCTTTCTCTCGACTTCAATCTGTCGCGACCGTTATGGAACCGACGTTGGATGGAAGCACTGCTTTGTGGGTGGGAACCGTTAATGGTTCTTAAAACCGACAATAGAAACGAAATTAACTTACGGTGTCTCTTGGTGTCCTTGGGTTGCCTCTTCTCCTTGTTAGCAGCACAGGAAAAATGTGTGCTGTATGTTGGCTCCAGGAAAACATTCATGATATGTCCGACGGGGCACTGAAGTCAACCAAAGTTCCAAGATCGGAAGACACACTACGACGGCATGCATCGTCGGATAGCCTCGCCTCAAAGAAAGACATGCCAGTATCGTTGTCTAGCTGCCATCTGCCAAAAGAATTCAAGATTTGAATTCATACAGGAGACATCCGATCGGCCACTACGAGTCGCGAAAGCCTAGCGTCAGTCTCAGCAACACGTAATTCCAATCTGTCTGGCTTCCCCGCATAGCCCCTAACATTTCCGAACAAACAGTTGTACAAGCACCTATCTCCTCAGTCCTGAGGCACCTACAAGTAATATTTGAACTTACATGTCAAGTGGTAATGGATTGTGGATAATCGATGTTGAAGCGACAGAGGACAAGCCGAAATAAAAATTTTAAATTAACTGTAATATACAACTTATTTGTGCACATATTAGGTGGGTTTCGAGAATTAGGTATGTCGAATTGAAATTCTGTCAGCGTAAGATAGACAGTTTGAAGGAGTGGTATCCACTGAAACCTATCTTGTCGGCTTCATAACACTGGGAAGATCAACCATGAATAACGGCTACTCGTTTACACTGCATTGGCTTGCAGGCTCCGTGTCCTCAGATAACAACCCCTTAAATGATGAGTGCAACAGTTCCGGCGTGTTTTTCACTGTAACAGTCTCCTCAAAATTATCTGAAAAGGAACATTAGTAGGAAATGTCATATTACTGTAGTGCCCCAACAGTGCGGCCTTTGCATGTCCCGTGACTTCACATATACACGACCGCTGAATGATCAATGATCTACCAATCACCCACACCTCACTAACAGCCAAAATCTTACCAGTAGCAGTGACCTTGACAACCGTGAACTGCTAGGTCATATGCAAATAATATACAACTGTTAGATACCAAAAAAGGGACTTGGGGAGAAGGGAAGTCTTCAAAGACGTATAATGATACGAAATTGTGTACTTTTTATAATTAATTTGTCCCCTTGCTATAGGTTAACTGTGGCTGCATGTAAACTAGTGAGTAGATATTAAGTTACAACAATTTAGATGTGTGCGATATGGAAATTACGACGGAATAATTCAAAAGACTTAAACTAATGCATTACGCCCGAATTTTATCGAAAGTGTGAATGCTTGTCTCACCCCTGAGTTGTCAACCTGATATATTCCAATATTCCTAGGATCGGAAGATTGTTCGAAAAAGGCTTGCGCTTGTAAAAGGCAGGAAATCTGAACTGATTTTCGTTAATGACTTCACAGATAACCCTAGGTGTATTTCTCATAAATTGTAATTGTCAAGAAGAAATGACCTTACTTTGGGCCTGGAAAAAGTAGCAGTCCATTTAGACACACTTACAGACACATTAGCAGTAATCCTCATTTGGGTCGAGTCGGTCTCCGTAGTATGGGTCTTCCGGATGCCAAAGGTATTGCAGATGTGAGCAAGAAGATGACTCTCGAATGCAGCGCCCTGGTCAGAGTGTAGATAAAGAGGGGCACCAAAACGGGACACCCAGTTGTCTATGAACGCGCGGCCAATCGTCAAGGCATCTTGTTGTCGCAAGGGGACGGCTTCGCACCACTATGTGAAGTAATCGACCTTGACAAGTATGTATCGATTGCCGCGTCTCGACGTTGTTATTGGCCCCATTACGTCTATCCCAACTCGGTGATTAGGCGCCTCGGTAAGCATCGGTACTAACGGTGCTCGGGGGATGCTTTGGGCTGTTTAATCTGCGCACACGTAGCACAGTTGCGGCGAAATTCAGTGACGTCGTGGTGAAGAAGTGGCCACCAAAAGCGTTGACGGACGGCGTGCTCGGTTTTTCGTTGGCCAGCGTAACCCAGTTGCTGGTGTACAAGATGTATCACCTCCGGGACTTTCAAACGTGGCACGAGAAGGCAAGGCGATGATGGCGGTTCGACTATATACAAAACGTTATCAATCAGGCGTAGTATCCCCCACTTACCGCAGATGCATTTGGTTGCATCAGACAGACTCTGTAGTTCTTTATTCGACGGTTTATCGTTCCCGTGAAGCTGTCGGGAGTAGACAAGTTGAATATCGGCGTCAGACGCCTGCAGTGCTGCCCAATCAACATCTAGACCTGTATTTAATATAGCATTCACCGTGGAAACATCAGATGGCAGACGGGAAACGGCGTCGGCGTTAGCGTGGCGCGGACCAGGTCGGTACTCACAGGTAAAATCAAACTCCTGCAACCGTTCCCGCCAGCGAACAACCTGGCCTTCAGGTTCGCGAAAGGTTTGCAGCCACTGCAGGGCACGATGGGCAGTGCGTGCTCGAAATGGGCGCCCAAGAAGATAATGACGGAAGTATTTGAGAAAATGAACGAGAGCCAGCATCTCTCGGCGTGTCGTGGAGTACCGGGTTTCACGTTTGTCAAGCTTACGGCTGGCATATGCAACAAGCCGTTCTCGACCATCGGGTGCCACTTGGGAGAGAACGGCGCCAATGGCAGTGGCACTTGCATCAGTATCTAAAATGAAGGAGCCAGCCGATGGAGACGTGTCAGGAAATGCGAGGTGGGTGATGACGTGAGGCGTTCTTCAACTCGTTAAGGCATCTTGACACTCACTAGTCCATAAAAATTTTCGACCCTGTTCCGTTAAGCGATGTAGGGGTGATGCTAGGGTGGCGAACGCGGGGACGAAGCGACGATAGTACGACGCGAAACCCAAGAAGCTGCGAACGTCTTTACTACACTGAGGTACGGCCCAGTCGGCGATGAGGCGAGTTTTCGCTGGATCTGTCTGGATGCCATCTGGGGAAATGCGGTGACCCAAGAAAATAACTTCTCGCTGAAGAAAGGTACACTTAGACGGTTTCAACTTTAAGCCCGCCGTGCGTAAGCGTTTAAAGACCGTACGTAGGTTATCTATGTGTTCTTCTGGGGATTTTCCGTGGACAACGATGTCATCAAGATATATTAAACATTGTTGTGGAACTAACCTATCTAGGACAACTTGCATCAGCCGTTGAAAAGTGGCGGGGGTATTACACAAACCAAAGGGCATGGTGCGAAATTCATACAACCCAGTCGGAAGGATGAAGGCAGTCTTTGGGCAGTCGTCAGGGTGTACCTCACCTTGCCAGTACCCAGATGCTAAATCTAACGTGGAGAACCATTTCGAGCCACTCAATGCGTCGAGAGTAGAGTCAATGCGAGGGATCTGGAAGGAATCACGTCTCGTCACGGCGTTCAACCTGCGGTAGTCGATACACATACGGAGGGATCCATCTTTTCTCTTAACTAACACAATAGGTGACGCCCATGGGGACGAGGAAGGTACGATGATCTTTTTATCCAGCATGTCCTGTAGCAAACGCTCTAGTTGGGGCTGATAATGCACCGGAATGCGTCTGGGTAGCTGGCGCAAAGGCGGATGGCTGCCGGTATCAATACGGTGCTTGACCACTCCAGTTCGTCCTGGGTTAACCCCATCATCAAACATCCGCGTATTCACCAACTAATTCTAGCATTCGCTCTTGGAGAGGCTCAGGAGCGGATGGGTCAACCGAAATTTGATTTAAGGTGGTAGATATTGGTACCCTTGACACCGGAGAGGTCTGCTGTTGGGGGCTATATAATGCTACAGGGACAGAGTCAATTGTGACGCGAGAATTGGGAATATCTATCAGGGTTTGGTGGGACGTCAGGAAGTCTACTCCGAGGATAAGATCCCATGTTATTTGCGTACAGATAAGGAACCGATGATGCACATTTAAGTCTCCCAGGCGCAGCTGTAGACCCGTAGCAGATCGAGCTTCCAATTTAGCGCCGTTAGCCATAGTCAAGATATTATTTGCGGTTACTGGGGGTGAGTTGGGGGAATAAATTGTGGCGCGCTTTTCGACTATTACGCTACATTTTGGTCATAAATAAAATCTCTTATTACTCTAAAATTTTATGCAAAGTGTTTGCGGAAATTATCACAATTATTAACCTTTCGAACACTGAATCCAAAAAATACAATCTTATTGACAGATAATACACATAACTCACTGTTTGGATTTGTGGAATTTTTAAACATAAACACATCTATAATTGTATATATTGTTGGATTTATATGTTCAAGTTGCTCCAAGTCAGTGAGTTTATGGTTAAGATATCATTTTAGTTAAATGTACTGAACTATATTGCATGTTGTCTTATTGTATAGTTGTCGTCGCTTTTTGCCCTTTTTTCTGTGAACTGTTTCCTTTGTTGATGTTGTTCTCATTGTTTGTCCGTTATTTTCTGATTTTGAGGGGAGCAACCCAAAAAGTTGCTTCTCTCTAAACTTTTACTTAATGTAATCATTCTTTTCTCAGGCGTGAGGCTAGCAACCCCACCCTGTAAACAAAAATTGCTAAAGAAACTTCAGTATGTTGAACCTCCTTGCACCAAAAGAAAAAGTCTGTGTAGGAACATGGAACGTCCGAACTATGTACGAGACTGGAAAGCTGCCCAGATCGCCAACGAGATGAAAAGATACGGAATACAAGTGCTGGGAATATGTGAGAGCAGATGGAATGGGAGTGGACTCACCAAATTGTCAACAGGTGAGTCAGTGATCTACTCCGGTCACCCAGAAGATAACCACACGCACACCGAGGGCGTGGCTATCATGATGTCACCAACGGCAACGAAAGCCCTGATACAATGGGAGGCGATTTCGTCCAGGATAATGACCGCCAGGTTCAACTCCAAAGGAAGGAAAGTGTCAATCATACAATGTTATGCACCCACAAACAACGCAGACCTCGAGAAGAAAGAAGAATTCTACAGGCAACTACAGGCAACAATGGACAATACTCCAGCTGGCGACATGAAAATACTAATGGGAGACATGAACGCCAAACTGGGACCAGACAATACGGGAAGGGAACTCATCATGGGTAGAGAAGCTCTAGGAGAAATGAATGAAAACGGAGAACTCTTCGCCGACTTCTGCGCCTTCAACGAACTGGTGATTGGTGGCAGTGTATACAAGCACAAAGATATCCACAAGGCTACATGGGTGTCACCAGACGGGCAAACCAAAAACCAAATCGACTTCATCTCAATCTCAAGGAAGTGGAGGCGCAGCCTACTGGACACAAAAGCAAGAAGAGGAGCAGACGTTGGCTCAGACCACTATCTCGTACAAGGGACAATCCAAATCAAATTAAAAGCTTTCAGGGAATCAGGAGCTGCAGATAGACCACAAGCCAAGTTCAACACTCAAAAGCTGAAGGACCAGGCTACAAAGGACATCTTCATTGCAAGCATAAAGGACAAAGCCGAGACACAAATCAACACTAGCGAAGAGGTCGGCGTTGAAAAGCACTGGAACAACTTGAAAACGGTGTGGAGCCAAACCTGCATAGAAATTCTAGGCAGAAAAAAGAGACAGGACAAACAGTGGCTCACTACGGACACTTGGAAACTAATAGAAGAGAGAAGGACAGTGAAGCAAAAGATTATCCAGTGCACGGACGAGCAACAAAAACAGGAGCTGAATGCAAGCTACAATACACTGAACAAAAGAGTGAAGAAAAGTGCCAGGGAAGACAAAAGAAAATATTATGAAACCATGGCAAACGAAGCAGAACAAGCTGCAGGCAAAGGAGACCTCGCCACACTCTACCAAACAACTAGGAACCTTTCGGGCAAACGTTCGACACAGATTAAGCCAATAAAGGACGACAATGGAAAGTCAATCACCAAAGAGGTGGAACAGAGAAAGCACTGGGTTGAACACTTCAAAAGACTTCTAAATCGTCCGCCACCTACAACACGTCCAGCAATACCAACAACGGAAGCAGAACTACCAGTGAACACTGACCCCCCGACGAAATCAGAAGTCCTGAATGCAATCAAGATGCTTAAAACTGGGAAAACACCGGGACCAGATGGAATCCCAGCAGAGGCTTTGAAAATAGACCCAGAGACAACAGCGGACTTGATGACACCACTACTGGAGAAGGTGTGGAAAGAGGGCAAAGTACCCGAGGATTGGAAGAACAGTTACTTATTCAAACTTCCAAAGAAAGGAGACTTAAGTCAATGTAAAAACTGGCGTGGAATTATGCTTCTGTCCATTCCAAGCAAGATACTAAGTCGCATCATCCTGGAGAGAATCAAACAAGCCCTAGATGAAAAACTTCGTCCGGAACAGGCTGGATTCAGGAGAAACAAATCATGTATTGATCAAATCGCCACTCTACGGATCATCATTGAACAAAGCTTGGAATGGCAGTCACCTCTCTATCTCAACTTCATCGACTTTGAAAAGGCCTTCGACAGCGTCGATCGAGAGGTCATTTGGAAACTACTTCGCTACTACGGGGTCCCATCGACAATTATACACCTCATCCAACAGTTATACGACAATGCTGCATGCCAAGTAATCCACAACGGGAAACTTACGGAAGCCTTCGAAGTGAGGACGGGAGTGAGGCAAGGCTGTCTACTATCACCAATGATCTTCCTGATTGCAATTGATTGGATAATGCGACAGACAACGGCAACCAACGAGGGAACAGGCATAAAATGGACTGACACAAAAGACTTGGAGGATCTGGATTTCGCCGATGATATATGTCTGATTTCCCATAAACTGGAAGATATGCAAGTGAAAAGTAACAAGTTGGCAGAAGAAGCATCAAAGATAGGACTTCACGTGAACATAGATAAAACAGAGATGATGAAGATTCCTAGCCAACATCAACAGCAACAACAACAACAGACCACAATAAGCATAAATGGGAAGAACCTGAAAGAAACAACCTCCTTCACCTACCTGGGAAGCATCGTCTCAACTACAGGCGGAACTGACGAGGACATCAAAGCCAGAATCGGAAAAGCAAGACAAGCTTTCATTACTCTCAAATCTGTGTGGAGGTCAACAGCAATCAGCATCAAAAATAAGATCCGGATTTTCAACTCCAATGTGAAGTCAGTGCTACTATACGGATCAGAGACTTGGCGAGTCATAAAGAGCATCTCAAACAAACTTCAAACCTTCATTAACAACTGTCTCCGCTCAATACTCAAGATCAGATGGCCAGAAAAGATCAGCAACAGGGATCTCTGGGAGCGAACCAATCAGGAACCGATTGTGAAACAAATAGGCAGAAAGAAATGGAGATGGATTGGCCATACGCTGAGGAAACCATCAAGTGACATCACTAGACAAGCCCTCGAGTGGAACCCGAAAGGGAGGCGGCGAGTTGGTCGTCCAAGGGTGACTTGGAGGAGGTCATGCGAGGAGGAGATGAAAGCATGTGGACAGACCTGGAGCAGGTTGAAAAAGTTGTCAGAAAACCGAAGTCAATGGAGGTGCGCAGCTGAAGCCCTATGTTCCTCTAGGAACTAAAGGATACAATAATAATAATAATACTGGGGGTGAGTGCTGGGGCACGCGTCGAAGGAAGGCCGCCTTTACAAACGAAACTGACGCACCAGTATCTAAGAGAACTTTAGAGGGTACGCCATTAATATATCCCCATAACATCAAAGGTTGCTGTGACCGAGAATATGTAGACAGGTTAAAAATATAGGACTTACTGCGGTCGGGCTGACGGTTGTGCCCGCACTTGCGGGCCTTCTTTGCGTAACGGTGGTAGTAGTAACATCCACGCGTAGCATCCTCATTTGAACGCCATCGGCTTCTGGAACGGTCACTGCGGGCGGGAGTCACGGTGGCTGCTGTTGGCCGTGGATATCGAGAGCTGCTGGGTGTAGGCGTGTAATCGTTCTCCGCGTCCATGAAACGGAGGATAATTCGCTGTAGTTCGACTGTGCTGGTTGGGAGCTGACGTCGTAGGTGTGTGCGCAGTTCACCTGGCATCATTCCCTCGACGAAGCGTGTGCATACTGCCTGATCTCGGCTGGGGAGGTCTTTGTGGCAGTCAAGACCAGCTGCCAGGAGCTGGAGGGCATGGAGATAGTCCAGGAAACTCTCCCCTGATAATTGTCGACGGGAGTAGAATCTGAGCATGGTGAGTTGCGAGCTCTGCCCCAAGTCGAAACATTGGTCTAGTATCTCCCAGTTGGTGCGCATGGAGTTGGTGTTGCTGAACCCAGCCGCATCAGCTCGAGCGTAGGCGTCGTCGGACAGACTGTTGAGGACGTGGATGAAATGGTGGCTCGCGGGAGCAATGTCGAGGTACGCCTGCATGCGTTTCTTCCAACGTGGATAGTCTAAGGAGAGCTGGAACATGGGTGGGCGAGGAAGTGGCGGGATGCTTGGTAATGTGGAGGCACATTCCTCCGGAAAAAGCTTGGGAAGAGCATCTTCAGGGTAGTTTGCCATGTCTCTGCGTAGAGAAAACACCTCCGACACCAGTATAAAGCACACAGACCACAAGCACGACGGGTGAAGAAAGAAGGCAAAGACGGCGAGGAGGAAGCGTTTATTTCAAGCAAGCCAAACTTGAATTACCCGGGCACAAGCTAGTTCTCATCATTTATAACAAGTTTGGATAACCGGTCTTCCTCTTGCTCCAGTGATGCCACATCAACGTTTCTTTCTGAAAAAGAAGAAAAAGAAACTTGTGTAGTGGCATTGTATTGGTTTCCATTGCATTACAAACTACGCTGTAGCATAAAATACTAATTCTTGCCAAAAACTAATTAACTGCTCGTAGGTCTCAATATTCAATATCCATTTTAAGAGCTAATACAAGTCAAAATGATTTCCTCAACTTCATTTCTTTATAGTCAGTAAACGCTTCTGATCTTCGAGGAGCTTCTGTGTAATTCGTCCCACTTCTAAACCATTGATAGACTCCAAAGATAGCACTTATTGAATATGTGCCTTAGCCTAAATAGCATTTTCTTCAGGCGCACTTCCGGACGTTAGTCGATGTGTATTCTCATATAAACATGTAAATTTAAATGAGAATACATGCCATTTTTACAGGCACAATCAAGGATGATACAATATCAAATTATAGATTGTTTACAAGTTAATAATGTTTCAACAGATAAATATTTGATATATATAAATACACTCATTGTCTGAACCAGGCCGCATAATTATTCAGTTGTACAGTTGTCCCCCAGGTTTCGCAGGAAAATCGACTTCGTTTTGTTTGCAACCCGGAGTGAGGATATAGGCTATAACCAGGTGTTATCGCGCGATGACGTCGGTTACCGCGTTCACAGCAACATACGTTATAATCGCCTATTTTTCTGGAAATAGATTATATTTGACTAGTTTTAGACTTGATATAAGTATAAAACTTGGGCACTGTGGTAGAGTATAATTCCATTATAGATAAGATTTTATTTTGATAAATCGCACAGTGTTTACAGTTATATGAGCTGATGACGTTTCGAGCACAAACTATTGCTCATAATCATATCAAGTTACTCACACAACTTTGATCTCTCATTTATATACATATGTGGAATGGATTAGATATTGGATTAAAAATCAATGTGAGATAATGTACATTCAGAAATAATCGTACGACTGTTGTTGATCAATTGCAATTAGATGGGAAAATTGGACGAGTGTTTTAATAGTCATAATAAGTTTTTTGTAAGGATGTTGTGATGTGTTTGAATTGAAATAGAATTTTAATATTATTTATTACCCTCTTCTGATTTGACCTGCGGTAATAACTCTTCCATATCTCTGGTATTTGCATTCAGTCATTTTTGTTGCATGTGTTGGGTGTGGACTCGATAAATAAGGATTCAGTAATCAACCTCTCTCTCCACTTAGCCATATTACTTTTTAGAATTTTAACCCTATCCCACCCTATTGTGTGGTTGTTTGTTATTGCATGAAGTGCAATAGCTGAGCTTTTTTCTAAATTACTTATCTTTTTAGGGTCAACCATTCTTACCTTAGCTAAATTCTTATGTTCTGTTAATCTGACTATCCCTGACCTACTAGTTTGACCTATGTAGTTGACCTCATAGTTATTGCAGGGTATTTTGTAAATTATATTATTTTGTTTAATTGGATCCACCGGGTCTTTTAGCCTACAGAGCTTGTCTCTGAGTGAGTTTGTAGGTTTGAATGCCACCCTAATTCCTGCTTTATTAAGAATCCTACGTAGGGCCTCAGATGTGCTTTCCTTATATGGTATAACAGTGGATGATTTATATTCTTTCTTATTTGTGTTATCATTAATAGTTTCACAATTATTTTTATTTTGCTTTTGGTTTTTGGTGATCTTCCTAATGAATTTTATAGGATAGTTATTCAACACCAACGCTTCTTCTATCTGTTTTATTTCATCATTTAGGTCTTTTTTTGTGCTACTTAGTGCTATGGCTCGATTTGTTAGACACTTTACTAAGCCTGCCTTAACAGTTAACGGATGAGACGAATTAAAGTCTAAATATCTATTAGAATGCGTTGGTTTTCTATAAACACTAGTGTGTAGTTTGCCTTCTTCTATTCGTTTTATTTTACAATCTAACATAGCTAATTCTCCTAGTTCATTTTCTGATTCAAATGTGAATTTAATTCCTTCTACTTGTGAGTTTATATGTGTCAGGAAGCTAGAGATATGTTCTGTTTTTAACACCGTGAAAGTGTCATCCACATATCTCCACCATATTTTTGGAGTGGGGTTAAACGTATTAAGAGCACTACTTTCCCAGCTGTCCATAAATATGTCTGCTACAATAGGGGATATTGGTGATCCCATTGCTACACCTTCTGTTTGTTTATATATTTTGCCTTGGAACTTAAAGATGTTAGATGTGAGACATAACTGAATCCCTAACATAATTTGTTCAATGGGCAGCTTTGTCCTATGATTCAGTTCAGGATCCGCAGTTAGTTCTTTTTTAACTGCTTCTAAGGCCATAATGACTGGTATATTAGTGTAAAGACTAGTTATATCAAAACTAACCATTTTTTCATCATTCTCTAGTTGAATGTCATTTAGCTTACTTTTCATCTCATATGAATTAGTTAGTCTAGAGTTTGAGCGATTTCTAATGGGACAAAGTATTAGAGCTAAGTGTTTTGATAATTCATAAGTGGGAGTATTTCTAAAATCTACTATTGGTCTTATGGGGTAACCTGGTTTATGTATTTTAATAGTACCATATATTCTACTAGTATTATTAGTTTTAGGCATTAAAGTAAACCATTTAGACTCACCCAGTGACGGCTTCATTCTCCGTATCAATTCCGCTGTAGATTTCTTTACCTTATTCATTATTGTATCTACAGGCTTCTTAATTTCCTCATATGGACCCGTTTCAATATGTTCACTGACTTTCTTGATATAGTCAGATTTATTCAGAACTACGGTGGCGTTTCCTTTGTCCGCTTTTGCGATGACAATATTTTTATCCTGTTTTAGACTAATTAAAGCTTCCCTTTCTGATTTTGTTAAGTTTGATCTTGCCTTCTTTTGATTTTTCAGGGTTAACGCACATTGTGCTCTAACCTCTTCTGCTGTTGTCTTGCCTATTGAACCTAGTGCTGCATCTATGTTAGGAATAACGTCCTCTGGTTTTAATTTATTGACTGTTACGTTAAAATTTAGTCCTTTCTCAAGTACTTTTATCTCACTAGAGCTTAGTTCTCTTGATGAGAGGTTGATCACCCATTTTGTTCTGTCGATAGAGGATGAAGTGTTGACATCAATTTCATTTGTTGTGTTCTTTTCTTCCATTAGTTTGTTGAATTTTTTGATTTGTGTGGTTTTTGATTTTCTTAAGGCTGATTCTCTAGCTTTTTCGGATGTTTCAACAACGATTACATAATCTTTGTCATTGACCATACATTTGAGTTTCTGTTTGAGTTTTTCGATTTCATTTCGTATATTATTTAGTTTCACAGTAACTCGATGTAGTTCTTCTCTTAGACATAATCTACTGAGATGTTCAGCTGCTGATGATATTTTCCTTGAAGCAATTGGAGTGCGTATGCGTAAATATTTTGGAATTATATGATTTTTTAAACATCTACTATTAAAAATCCGGTGGTTTGTGAATCTTGCTTCTGTTTGACAAAGTCGTGTGAGTTTATTGATAAGCTTCCTTATAGGAAGACCATATGTATTATTGATATAAGTATAAAACTTGGGCATTGTGGTAGAGTATAATTCCATTATAGATAAGATTTTATTTTGATAAATCGCACAGTGTTTACAGTTATATGAACTGATGACGTTTCGAGCACAAACTATTGCTCATAATCATATCAAGTTACTCACACAACTTTGATCTCTCATTTATATACATATGTGGAATGGATTAGATATTGGATTAAAAATCAATGTGAGTTTTAGACTTCTGTAACCCGATGGCAGTATTTTGCTGTATTTTGTTCTTAGTAGACCGTAAAATTGTATATTATAGCTTGGACGAATTATCAATGAAGAAGTTATCCTTTTTAAGAAAGTTCGCATAGAAAGACTATAATTTGCATTATAGTGCGTTGAGGGATTGTTTTTTTGCGAGTTGTTTCAGATCTTAATGTTGTAAATATACTGCAGGCAATGACTGTTGTCATTCCGGCGAATCTGTGAGAATCTGGCCTATGAAAGAGAAATAGCATGCAGACATAGGTTAGATGTGTGTTTTGAAGATGTTAAACACTTCTGTTATCATCCGTGATGACTCAAATATTCCATAACACATCGACGATATCGTGCGATGAATGAAACAGGCTGCTGAATTTCCTGGTGATTATATCTATTTTGATGAAGTTCCTAGTTAAAAGTGCTTGGGCAAAGATGTGATAATAGTTTAATTGACATTTGCACATGGAATTTCAGCAGGCCTTAATTGCTCAGTGCATGAAATGGCATCAGAGTATATTGACATCAGTGTTCATCGTGTCTCGAAGAATAGTATAAATAGTCCTCAAATGTCAGAGTACTTAAAATGAGTATCAGCTTTCTGTTGAGTAGTAGCTAGCACCTGTGTCATACAACTACTACACCTGTTACATAGGTTATATCAATCTTAATAATTATTTTGTTTCACATCACTAGGATATTCTGAGGTCCTTAATGACTTAATTGTGGCTATGAAAGATGCACTTATGGCTCATATATTTAACGCAGTTATTATTAAACAAGTTATCTGTAAGCAACTTGTGATGTTCTGAATACTGCAAACTGTTGATAAGAAACTGCATCAAAGGAAAAAATGCCGAAAAGCTAGAAAATACTACTGCAGTTTCGTTGGTTATTACCTTTTGGATTTGTAGCTCATCCTTCCAGCGTTCCAAGGACATAGCGCTTAGCCAAATGTACAGTGTTCATTATGAAGGGTTTACAATTTAACTCTCATCATAACCTGTTCTAATTACTCGTACAATAGTTGAACGACTTAAACTTTTGAAGATGAACTAATTTATGATACTTCACGATTGCAGTTTATAACATAACTTATTGCGCCTGTAGAAATGACATGCATTCTTTGTAAACATTGGTTTATACGACATATGAAATTATTATTATATGCTTGCTGCTATCCTTTAGAAGATGAACAATGTGTGTGGCAGTGAAAACCACAGAAGAATGCTGTCATGAACAAAGAATGAGGAAGGAGAATGAACCATTTTCAGCAAAGGTAGGCAAATCTAAAGTGTTTAGCTTTGATGTTACTTGTTTCTTACTTCAGTGATTTAAAAAAACACTTT